CATACAATATCAATCAACCCACATGTTGTAGCTCTGTAGGATCCTTTATCAATCAAATGGCAGCTCTGATAATAATAAATGTTGATAATGATATAATCTTTGAATGTGGTCGGGACCGATCCGCCATGACAGTCCACTTGCTCCCTCCAGACTTCAAATGACCGAACCCATGTGACGAAGTGTCAGGCCCAGGAGCCGTCGGTGCTTCCCATGTCGCTGTGTGTTAGCGTCAGAAACACTACACACATCCACCGCTCTCAGTAACTCCTGTGTGCCATATCCAGGCTGGGGTTCCTTACACATTGGACCTGACCCTGACCTTCATGCTTCAAGTGAAAGGTGTATCGTATTCCCCATCCTTTTGTCATAGTCATGGTTGAAATCAGCTCATACACTTGTACACAGGCTGAACTCTTCACCGATATCAATGCACTCTTATATGGAGGAAATATAAGAAACTTCGGTGATTGATGTAAAGTTGAGATAAAAACAAGAATGTGAGATGCCATAATGTGTTATTTTTCTGCTATCTAAACCTTTCTGAAGTCTCTATTAAAACTTCTTAAACTCCGTGAGAGCTTGGCCCAGTGGTCCCCTCGCACAGCAGAAGTGGCACCGAAATCCCCTCCGTGTCTCCAGAGGCTTGCGAGACTTTTAACATACAGCATGTCAAGTAGCTGTTGTGAGATAATGAGCATCTGTAGCATATATCTTTAACTGGCAGTCTTAATGAGACATCTAAAGCTGCCAGGCTTGTTTACTCGGCTACAACGCTAACGATGTCTTCAGTCAACTCCGTTATATATTTAGTTTTCAGGCTGTAAAATAAAATCCAACACGAACTTAAAGTGTTTACATGCAACACATTTGTCACATAACGGACGAGGGGACCAAATTCCCTGCACCAAGGCGTGTTCAGTCCCAAATCAACTGACTCACCCAGACGGCTATAAACCTCAGTGGAACGTGGAAGCACCTTTCATTCCACTACTCTGCAAAAAAAAAAAACATTAATCAGACAGACAGAGAAGATAATTGCGGACTGTACTCCCATTGAATTTTGAATAGCAGCTCCTTTGGCAGAGATGCTTTATGCACACTGAATAGCTGCAAGTCTTGCTTTGTACTCTGAACAGCAGCCCTCCTCTGTTCACTCAAACGTGTGACTAGATACAGGTGGATATGAATGTGAGCAGAGGTATGTGTCATGTATTTACCAAGTTAAATGCGTACCTTCTCGCAAGCTTTTGTGTGCTCATTTATGTCCTTCTCGCACACAATCCTTGTACAATATTTCTAAAATACCATTGTGAAATGGTAAATGGACTGATCTTATATATTGTTTTTCTAGTCCGATCTACCGATTACTCAAAGCACTTTACAACACATGCTAACATTCACCCATTCATGCACACATTCATACATGCCATGCAAGGCATCGTACCCGCAACCTTCAGATTACTTGACGACCATTCTACCTCCTGAGCCGTTAACGTTAACGTTGTGAATTGAAACAAAACTCCTCGCTCCGAATGGACTCTCCCTGTCACAAGCTCCAGTAAATAAGCGAAGTGAATAAGCAGCTCTGTGAGAACTCCATCAACTCATCCATTACAGCCTTAAATGGTCTCGGAGCTCATGTCAAGGTGTGGTGGGATTTGCAGAAGATGCAAAATGTGTGGGCTATCCTGATGGAAAGAATGTAAATTGCTGTTGTACTGTCGGGTATTGTAGCTGTGAGGCGAGAATAGATGGCGGCCATGAGTGGAAGCCGTTGTGCAAGGGTGGCATGAAAGCAAGGACATCCCATAGAATGGAGTGGCAGTCACTTCTTTTTTCTTCTCAAATATGATAGACAGCAAACGACAAGTGTGGATGTCATGGATACGTCTCAATGGGACTGAAATCATGTTTGTATCAACAAGAGGCTTTGACGAATGAGAATAAATCGTTATTCCAAAAGGACACTTTGGCGTGCGGCATAACTCCCATGCGCAAAACATGTCTTGCGAAAATGGCGTCGACATTGAACTTCGCCACCCGGAATGAGTGTGTGAAAAGATATTTTTCCCACACAGGATCGGCAGATGTCCACGAGTCCTTCGGTTTTTGTGTTACATCCGGTCCTGAGCTGCTATTACGACAGCCAAGGACAAAAATTCGCGCTCTGCCAGAATGCTACTGTATGAAAGGCTAATAAGTGGGGAGCGAGGCCGCCTCTACACTGTTTTGAGAGAAGGTATTTTTGACGATTGTGAAGTGGCATCACGATGCTTCTTCTGAAAGAGAATTAATCTATAATTCAGAATTCCGCACTGTGGATTCCTCATAAGTCCTTGAGGCCGAGTTTTTCTTTCCTTTTTTCATTTTCCTTTATGTATTTTACCCTACAGTAAGAGTTTATATACTAAAAATGAGCACGGACAACATGCTTACCCATACTCCTCCCTAATCTCTTCTCTGGGATTGTTCCAGCAGCTGGGGCCCCGGCTTTACCTAGAGTCAGCCGACATGAAACCTTGTACAAGAGGGTCATGTAATAAAGAGGGGAAAAAACAGCAGATTATGTGCGAGGGATGCTGGCATGTTTATGCGGCACAAAATAAGGGAGGAGGTCCGCTGGGAGCGTGATGCGGCGACAGCAGCAACATTATGTCATCCGAGGGGGGCTGATCCTCTGATGACCTGCTCTGGCAGAAAGAGCGCCATGTTTGCCACGACCCTGTAATCTAGCGGCATGTGTTACACTCGCATGTTTATGGACGGGGAGCAAATGAGATTGAAGAGGAACGAGAGAATCAGAGGATGAGCTCCGGCTGTACTGCAGTCTGTGTAATCCAACATGTGGTGGTAGACTGCTGTTTTGAAGCCTTGAGTTAGGTGTTTTGACCGTCGCCATCTTGACTTTTTGCAACCAGTGAACAGAAGTGACCATATTTGGAAAAGTGGTATATTGCAACAGTCTCTTTTCTGGTCTCCTTGAGTAGACCGTCAGAGGTTTTCACTGCTGCCAGAGAACATGAACAAGTACACCTACTTCCTGTAGGTCCTTTACATCTTGCTCGTCGAGTCTAAAGTGAACAATGTGGAGCTGCTATAAGCTAATGCTACACACGGGTGAAAGCAATTTTCTGATGATCTTAAATGCACCACTCTAAATGAAGAAAACTGCTCTCTTGTTCCTTTGATGGATTGAATACTTCACTTTTATTCCTCATGTTGAATTAGGACCAGCATATTACTAAACTGTTACTAGAAAAAAAACTGTACACTGGTTTAATATTTATTTGTTATATTTTATTCTCCTCATTTTATTCTATTATAACTTGTTTCCCCCTCGGAATTGACTGTGTTCGAACAGTGCTCTACAAATGAACTGCCTGGCATGGTTTCCATTGCTGGATACAATAGTTGAGATGAAATAGAGCACTTGAGGGTCACCGTTGGATACTTTGTTGTTGTCGTCCTGTGTGACTAAGTCGTCAGCGTCACTCTGCCGAGCTGTGATGAAGACAGATTTAGCTCAGAAGTGTTGATTGGCCGTGTCAGTCTTAAGAGGTGCCACTGCTCTGAAACACAGTGACTTTGACTGAGGCGACAGCACTACTTCGTCACTTCATGACAGTTATCTGAGGTCTTCGCACGCCGTCGTCATCATCATCTACGTATTGTTTCAATGTTGTGCAGCGTCAATGTAACGATCATCCAAATATTCAGCCATGACATTGGCAATCTTTTATATAACACTAAAGTTATGCTTTCTGTGGTCCAACACAACAAACTCTGTCCAGCAGTGGAAGGGTTGGTTCAGGTTTAGGTAGGGGGAGATGGCAAACACAAGTACTTTTAGTGGCCGTAGTTTGACGGTGAGGACTTGCCACAATGATTACATTGCAGCCCGTTTAGCGGCTGCTTGCTGCAGCCTTCTCCCTCGATACTGGACCAATTTAAAAAACTGTTGTCTCCATTAGTCACTTAGACTCAAAGAAATGGGAAAATAGGGTCCAGATTGAAAAATACCAAAGTAAGTCTTTAAATCTGATTTGTAAGAAAAACATACAAATGTGGTTGTTTGAAAAATGATACAGTGGATCTCTGTGTTCCAAAGAGTGACGACTATAAAACAGCGATTAAAAAGCAGACACTGTAATCTGCAAAGATTTAGAATCACAATGATATAAAACGGATAACATTAGCAAATGACATCCGTGAAGTTTGAACTTCCCCTCTGAGTAATTGATTATCAAATTTGTTGACGTAGAATCTTCTGTCAATTTTTAGGTTAACGTCTAAGCATATTGGGTGGATGTAGTTCTTGTATAATGACATTGAGACTCTGATAGGTCTTCTTCATGCATAGTATTGGATATAGTTTATAAAGTAAATGACCATTGTTGTAACTCGGAACAAACTGAGATCCCAGCGTGAGATGAAAAGTGGCCTGCACCACTGAAGTATATTTGTTCTCAGGAGTGCAGTGGACTCACAAATGCTTTCCTTGTTGAGAACACTGTGGGCTTGAAAGGATGCATTCAAAACTGTAGCCTTGAATCTAAAAAGGTGTGTGTGTGTGTGGGGGGGGGGAATAAAGATGCTGGGAATATAATAGGATGTCACACTGAATATGTCTGCACTAATCTTGACCACCTTTAGAATGTGTGAGCGTAAATTATCGCTTTTGTTTCTGGTACGGAAACAATTCACCGTAAAGTAAAAGGGCATTTTTGGAAAAAAAGGAAAGGCATTCATCGTCGCGTTAACGTTCACCTCGGTCTTTGTTCTGGTGTTTTTTTTTTGTTCCCACTTATGAGGTGCTGCTGGCGTGAGTGAGTCACAGAGTTTCTGAATGGCGGGCTGGGTTTATAAACCTCCGCCAGCCCTCAACGCAGGAGTTTGAAGGCCACTTGTCTCCGCGGTCTGTCACGTATGCACATGCAGCAAACTCCGACAGCCTCAGCATCCTCACTTTCCACCCTAGAGGGCACCGGAGCGCAGAGACAGCTCTTCATCATGAGGTCCTTCGTCCTACTGTTCTTCACCCTGCTGCTGGTGTCCCACGGATCTTCAGCAGTCATCACAGGGGTAAGTGGGAGGTAGGTGCCCGGGGGGGGGGCATCGGTTTGATGGGAATATGGAAGTGCTTGCCTGATGGACACTGCTCAATATCGTCTTTTGGTGTGAATGGCATTAATTCTTACCATCTAAATTGCAGTCATTTTTTGACACTTCACACATCTTAACACAAAAGAAACAGAACAAATAAGTATATTCAGTCCCACTGTCTTATTTATGCTTAGACCAAAGCCTCCATTGTAACATCCATCCTCTGATGAAAATATTGGCAAATCCTTCTTTGAAATATTGATTTAAGTATTTTAATTCTACTGTGCTTTTAAGGTTTAGCTTAGGACAAAATTGAAAATATATTGTATTGAAAATGAATCATACAATATAATATAGAAATATATTTATTTTGGAAAAGGCAAAAAATAATTTAAAAAAAAAGTCAAATTAAATGAATTTCAGAAATACCCCACATCTTTGCATTTTTGGTTTTCTAAAAGCATGAAGGGCTACTATGTAAATAAGTGCAGTCTATCTATCAGTTTATCCCCCCACCCCTACCCCCAAAAAATAAAAATACATATATGAATTTACCCAGTTATTTGAAAGATTTCCTTTTTCCAAAATCTATTTATATATTCCTATGAGCATAACTCGTGGCCATGACTTGCTCGTTAAACAGCCCATCCTGTCACAACATCCCTCTGGTCGCTGATGCGCGCTGAGAGAGGAACATGCAGCCATAAAACAGAAAGTGATTTTCATCCACGTTTGTCACATGAAATCACTTCTGTTCCTCTTCATTGTGTTCCCTTCATCTCATCCAGAGCGAGAACTGTCATTCAGCATCTCATCCAGACACTCAAGACAATAAACCACCACCGATCCTGAGGTGTTTTGTTGAGGTATGATATGACTAATGGTGTTATAACTCCACACCATTAGCATAATATTCTGTTTGGGTAACACCAGTTTGCATTGTGTGTGTTGCTCTTCTGCAGTTCTCACCCATCTAAAAGCTCCTAACCACACTACTGGCTTTTTCCTGTTAGTGTAATAATTAGCATGTTATTGTGTTTAATTATATAACATTACATACACTACATGTATGCATTATATCATTACATACATAATCACCAATTACATTTATCCTGCGATTAGCAACATTTAAACCAATTCATTGAATTTAAAGGACCAATGTGTAGGATTTAAGGGAACATATTGGCCGAAATAGAATATAATATTCATAACTTGGTTTTCATTGGCGTATCACCTGAAACTAAGAACGAAGAAGTGTTTTTGTTACCTTCACAGAGTTGCCATGTTGCACCGTCAAGTTTCTACAGTAGCCCAGAACGGACAAACCAAACACTGGCTCTAGAGAAGGCCCAATATGGAAGCGCGTAAACTTGCATTTTTTTCAAAAGCCATCAGGGGCCGACTCCTCTGGTTGCAAAAAGAAGTCAGATTGTATAGAAGTTATGAGAGAATGACTCTACTTCTCACTTGATTTATTACCTCAGTAAATATTGTTATGGGTTTATGGTCTCACTCGCTAGTTTCAAGTCTTCTTCAATACAGCATGATGTTCATTTAGTCAATTGTGGTCCAATTTAGAGCAACATAGACAATAGGCAGGGCATGCTTTAGGGCGTGGCTACCTTGTGACTGACAGGTGCTACCACGGCGTTGTCCGATCGGGGAGTTGTCCGTGTTTTCATCTTATAACTTTAACACTTTTACAGTGTGTTTTCAGTTAATGGAAGTTCATTGCAACCTTTTTGCAACTTCAAAATGTATTTTTCAGTGTTCGGTTTTCAGTCTCATTGTCTCTTCTGGTTGCAAAAAGCCAAGACGGCAACGGCCAAAAACCAAGATGGCCGACATTCAAAATGCTGAACTCGAGGCTTTCAAACGGCGGTCCACAAACCTACGTCCACTTCTTATGTACAGTCTATGGGCCTTTCGTGCTTTTACATCACCTGCACAGGTTCTCCAACACCCTTGAGAAGGGAGGGGTGAGCCGAGGGGTACCTCGGCTCACCCCTTAATAAGGCACCTTAATAAGGCATTTGCTATTATCTAGTGTCCAGCATTAATTAATAGCAGGACATTGTTATTACAGATTTAAATGTGCAGTGTGTAAGATTTGCCGACATATAGCAGTGATTATTCACTAAATAAAACATACTTATTAATATTCAATACATCGCCCTAAATGCTACACAATGTTCTTTTAAATGATGATGGCAAGTAACTTTATGTCCATTAAACCAATCAGTTTTTTTGATCTGCATAAGTCATTAATATGCTTCGTTGAATGACAGCATCTAAACTGTCTGTCTGTGTCTGTGTGTAGGCCTGTGAGAAGGACTCCCAGTGTGGAGGAAAGATGTGTTGTGCGGTGAGTTTGTGGATCCGCAGCCTGCGTATTTGCACACCCGCGGGACAGGAAGGAGACGACTGTCACCGTATGAGCCACAAGGTGAGATCATCGTCTGACAGATGTGCAGTGAAGTGACACCAATGGTTTATCCCCATACAGTGGTGTCATGGCAGTGATGCTTTCAAAGCACCTCACCAACTCTCATCAAGAGTCAAGAAAAGAAACATGTCTTAGAAGCAGTTAATGAGAATTATTTCAAGTCTCTGACATGTCTGCACCTTCCACTGCGTTCATTACGCCTGATGAAGATGAAATGAATCTCATACCAAAGGTGTCTCCTTTTCTGCTTCCAGATTCCTTTCAGTGGGAAAAGACTCCACCATACTTGCCCCTGCCTGCCCAACCTGTCGTGTATCACCATCGAGGAGGGAAGGTCCAAATGTCTCTCACCATACAAGTATCCAAACTACTACCTCTGAGGACCAACACTTACCTATCTGCCTTTAGAAGCCTGTTTGTTTGTTTGTATATATTTAGATATATATATATATATATATATATATATATAAATTTACTAATGCATAGTCATTTTTGGTGGCAGGTTAAATTAAACTGTTGGGGAATGATGACTTCTCCCTGTGTATAAGTCTCCTTTTTCAGTTATTTCAGTTACACACAGAGTGACTGAAAATCCAAAGAGCACGAATAATATATAACTTATTGATTAGATTGTATTCAATATATTATAATATATAAGTTATTAAATTTTTGCACTCAAAATACACATGGAAACAAGCCGTCTTCTTCATTTGTATTTGGTAAGAAGACTAAATGACGCATGCTGTCTCACAGGACTCTGCAGCAGCTGCCCTCTAGGGAAACATGAAGACAAACACACTTAACTTCAATGGTTACAACGTGACATGCTGAGTGATGGGCAAGTTACAGTTTCATTATCCACTCATAACCGAAACACACTTTCCGCAGTACTTTTTCATGCTTTCACTCACAACAAAGTAGATAAGGGAAAACTTTTGGTCAAAAGACGAGGGGAGACGAGAGTCTTTTATCCCGTTCACCTTGGCAGCAGGTCTTCATAACGGCAGGAAACGGTAGGACAGCTATGAAATGAATCACTGTCGGGATGTGATTCGGAGCATTTGTTCAAAGCTCAAAGCTATAATTAGATTTGTCCAATGTGTAACGCAGTGACTCACATCAATCTTGTTCCTTATGAAGTGGATGTTGGTCTTCTGTGGCACATAAAGGAATGCTGGTAACGTCAAATGACTGTTGAAATGAACCATCAACTGTCTTCAACCTAGAAAACGTTTATGATTTCATGATAATTTCACCCATAAAGAACTGAAACAATGAATCAATTAATCAATCATCTAACTGATAGATAATGATTCGGCTGTTTTGATAATCGATAACGTCGTTTTTTTCGCATAAACTTCGAACGAGTTTTGGGTCGAAACAGTTTCCTTCCCGTACAACCAGACTGCATCGTCAATTATGTTTGGCGGGAAACGTATTTCCCTTCCGGATTACATATGTTTTGTGCAAATACGTTTCTAATCAAAAGTCTGCGTGCTTGTGTGGGTCAAACAAACATGAGACTTTCATCCAGGACACCTCTGTTTGTGTCATCGATGACTTATTTTAAATTAGATATATTTAACTTAAATACGTAACAAACATACTTATTCTAAGTTAGACCCTGATTCTGTTTTGTTTTGCTTCAATTCACAACGTTGACTACGGTTTAAGAACTGCGACCCTAATTCGGGAGAAGATGCATTTTATTAAACCGTAATTGAGGATGCAGTTTAGTTAGTTTGCATGGGGACGTAATTTTTAGGGAGAAGGGGTTGGACTCGAGGCTACATTAGCTGCTACTAGCATAACACAAACAAATCTTCAACTGCATTGTTGGCAGTTAGAGTTGCACTGTGGTTAATGTAGGCGCCAACTTTTAACAACAAGCTGCTTTTAAAAAGCTCCATTTCCAACTGTCCAAATTGTATGTAAGGACAACCCAGTGAGGAGTACCGAGGTCAGCGTAGTTGCTCGGTGTTTAGAACAACTGAAAAGGTCACTAAAAGAGCCAGCAGTAAAAGCCCAGCGAACAGTCACATTTCCCCATGCATCACAGCGGAGCACGCGTGCCCCGAGGGCGACACCATGTGCCAAAAATACCCGATCTGCATTTGCATTGCACGAGAGCACGTGCAGGTGAGGAGCTTCCTGCAGCTGAGGAGCCACAGCAATTACACCACGAGACCTCAGCACGCCGGTAGCAGAGCACAGCCATCTGTCAGGAACAAGCGGGCGTGTTGTGATGCTAATGGTTATGGATGCACTGAGGGCAGGCGGCGTGTTGAGGAGCTTCGGCATCGGACGGAAGATCGGAGCGCTCGGGAACACCTTGCTAAATCACAGTGATTAGGGTGTGTACCCAGAGAACTGCTCAGCCTTTAAAAGCCGTGGTTCGGTGTAATCGAGGCCGGCGTTGATGACTGCAACAGCAATTAGCTGAATCAATTGCCGGCTGCTGGCTTAAGGAGGGAGGAGGGGATTGGGGGGTTTGAGGGAAGTTTGATTAAAAAGCAGGTGCCATGCAAAAGGCCTATTGAAACAAATCTAATGAACCGTTTAATAAGTGCTGTAATGACATGGAAAAATCCAACCTCTAACCTTTTAACTAAGCCATACACGCAGTTTGTATTGTATTTCTTTTCACAGACTGTTTGGTAGCCACACATCAAAGACCAGCTATACTAATGTCAGGTATTCATATTTGATATACAGTTAACTGTTCGTTTATATTTTATTTCCCAACATGATGGACTAAATGCTGAAAGCCTTCTCCACACTGCCAAGAATTTAAATATATTGAGTCTAAAAATACTGGAATTAGCCTAAAATATACCAACCACAAGCACATTTTTAATCGTTGAATCTAACGCCATGCTGGTTTTTAAAGAGGCCGTCTACATTTTACACGTGAAGTTGAGTTTACTTTTCACAAGTAGGTCAGTCTTTGAAAACAGATGATTAATGTCTAATGATAAACCCCCAAGGCTTAAAAAGTCTACAAGTGAGAATTACCAACTGGAAGTTGGGGATTTGAAAGACGTGGGCATTTGGACGCTGTCCAGTTGCTTTGTGGGAAATGTAGGATTTGGAGCTTGACCCATTCTTAAGAATAAAAATCAAGATAATTCTGCTTCCGCTGCTTCAATTCTGATCATTCTTCTTTTAATCTGTCTCTTGTGAGTCCACAAACTTTATGGAAGTGCAACTTTAAATTGCTGGAGCGCCCTTTAAAAAAAACCCAGTCCAAGAGTAAATACCAAAGACATGAGAAAATCCACAATAGAAACACTAAAATACCAAGGTCTGTATTGATTTTTTTTTTCAAGTACAGGGTGCAACTCTCTCCTTTTCTCAACTGAAAAATCTTTAAACATGTCTATCACCCTCTCTCCATTTACAAACCAATGCAACAAGCTAACACGGGGGGCTGCCAGGAAACAGGAAACATAAGGCAGGATGAGTGCTGCATGGTGAGCACGCTATCAGGGCCAGAACCAGATCAGGTACAGACATCTTGTTAAAAACAGATTATAGAACCCAAACAACTTATCATCCATTTCTCATTTATTTGCTAAGAAATACAAACAATGCTTTCTAAAGCACCAAATTGTTAAACATTATCATGTCCACATCTGTAGAAAAAGAACAAAAATAACCCGTTCCTCAACGCAACTGACCCATGAAGAAGATTACGAATTTGCAAAACACCTTTTGAAGTGAGTTTCGACACCTTTTCAACACAAAGACTCCCGCTGGATTATGAAATATACAACATATCTGGTTAAAAAAATGAAAAAAGAGGAAGGAGAGAGGCTTTACAGTATTTACAAATGTCACGCTATCCTCATTAAAAATATACTGAGATCTGCGTCTCATTTGTGGTATCCAAACGACTCGAGGCGTCACAGACAGCGGTTGAGAAACTGACTCTGATCAGCTGATAAAATAGTTTCAATGGTTCAGTCATACAACCTCCAATGGGTGCGCTGGGATAGAATTTTAAAATATACAAACAGATAGCCAAAGTGACATTCATGTACAATATTGTAGCCAACAATAAAAAGGTGATAAGATGTAGAAATATCTTAGCATACGGGCTATAAGCTATTATTTGAATTAATACAGTACAGAAGCGTAAATTAAAAGGTGGCAAAGGGGATTGTTTTCTAAAATAGCTTTAGTTGTTCTGATTAGGATGATGAAATAAAGCATTCATTTACATAATATTCAAGTTTATGTCAGCACAAAATAGCGGGTAAAATCTTAGCCACAAAAAAAAAGTGGATAAATTAAACTGAAGTGGGTTCACCCTCCACAACATCCCCGTGTACGTGTGCAAACACATTTTGGGGACCAGTCTGTGCATTCTGAAACAAGATGTAATGTGTCTTTGGCAGTATGTTGTTGTTGTTGTTGTTTTTGGGGGGGGGGGGGGGGGGTCAGATAACACAGTATGGCTCCATGGGAGTCTGTGTCCCCAGGCAGCTGGGGAAACAGGCTCTGAGGCGCATCCGGAGCTCCTTGTTGAACAGGAAGCTGATGATGGGGTTCGCCCCCGCCTGGGCGAAGCTCATCCAGACCGCAGCGCTCAGGTAGAGCTGCGGCAACGGAGCTCCCCGCACAAATATTCTCAGGTAGCAGGCGCTTATGTACGGAGCCCACAGGACGAGGAATGTCAGCGTGATCATGTAGTACATCTTCCCGATGCGCTTCTCCATCTTGAACTCGTCCAGCACCAGCAGCCTCCTGTTGCCGAGGTGCGACGCCTGCCTGATGCCCACCAGCGTGGGCGGGGTGGGCCCGCGGCCGAAGCCGGCGATCCAGTTGGCGGCGGCCTGCCCGGTGGCTCCGGGCCCGTGGAAGGTCCAGTTCTGGCTGATGGCCGGGACCAGCTGAGTCGGCTTCATCTTGCGGTGGTCGTAGACGAAGCACAGCATCTTGACGTACACCACGTGGGTCGTCCCCACGATCACCGCCAGCATCAGCATGAAGCCCAGCGTGTCGTTCGCCTTCACGTAGCGGTGCTCGAAGGTGCACTGCTCCTCCTCGCGGATGAACTTGTAGGTGCCCACGTCGAACACCGGCGGGAAAGCCATGGCCACGGAGAGGGTCCACACCATGCAGATCACCGCCGCGCACGTGCACAGGTTCATCCGCTTGTAGTAAAACCGGTGGTGGGCAATCGCCATGTACCGGGTGACGCTGACGCAGAAGAGCAGGAAGGCGACGTGGAAGCAGAAGAGCACCGACAGGAAGGCGACGATCTTGCAGCAGAGCGCGCTGTACGGCCAGGCGGAGCCGCCGCCGCCGCCGATCGCCGCCATCACGAAGGGGAAGCAGACCGCGGAGCGCACCACGTCCGCCAGGCACAGGTCCAAGAGGAAGTAGTAGGGAGCCTTGCGCAGCGAGCTGTCCTTCAGCAGCAGCAGCGACAGCGACGCGTTGCCCAGCAGGCTGACGCCCGTGATCAGACCCAGGGAGGCGAGCTTGACCGCAGAGGCCGCGGACGCGTAGTTGTGCGCGGACGGGCTGCTCTCCCCGAACGCGCTTGTGTTTGCCATCTGTGCAGCCGAGGCGGCGCGTATCCCCACATCAATTCATCGACGAGCGGTACAAAGCCAAAAAAAACTAAATCAACACGATCCGCAAAACCCTCTTTAACAGAAAACAAAACAAAACCACCACCCTCAGGAATAAATTCCACTCAGAAGCATCCGTTCAACATCGGATCACATCCATCCCGGTGTGCGCTGCGATCCCCGCCGACAACAAACAAAATAAAAGCATCTGTTTCTTTTTTTCTCTTCTTGTCCTTCATCTCACAAGTGTCCGGCACAAAACGCGTCCCTGTCTGTTATTCCAGCTCCTGCTGAATAGACGCGGTCTGGTTGAGCTTTGTACACCATCTCGTTAGGCAGCCGTTCGACAGACAAGCGGCTCACAAAACACATCTCAATTATCAACCGATGGCGGAGGTCTCCCGTTCGTCTTTAGGAATCAAAAAAAAAAAGAAAAGGAAGCAGACAGTGCTGTGTGCGCGAGCATGGCGCAATTACGCAGCCACCGCCTCACCAGCGGCCGCTAAATGTCAATACAGAGCCTTAAAGAAGGCGAACATGTTGGAAAAAGCCGAGCGGAGGTCGGAGACCCGTGGAGGAGGGAGCGCCGGTGTGGGTCCATCGGTGGATCTCACGCAGCAGCGTCTATCCTCTATGCGACGCACGTCCGCTTGCGTGTAGTGTGAGTGAGCAGGCCTGGGATCAGTCAGTCAGTCTTATCTGACGGTGCGTGTCTATTACAATCTACACGGTGCACAGATACAGATGTTCACAGACCGACATTGCACAATGCTTGATGGGCAAATAACTGATCATATATTTTATTTGATTTCACTTTATTTTACTTTTCTTTAATGTATTTTATTTTATTTATTTAGTATTTATTTTACATTATTTTATTTTACTTTATTTAAAGACATGGGTCATAGGTCATACTGTAACTAACCCATGTCATTGTCTTCTGGCTTTTTTTTTATGAGGACATAGAAGAATAAGATTGCACTCTGAAATTAACCAACCAAAACAATATTCATCAATTCATATAGCCAATACTATTCAGAGCTAACTACTCTCTCTCTCTCCTTGTTGTTTGGAATGTATAAGATACACCGAACGTTTGACAATCAATAATTAAAAGGTGAATCACCCATTTCTAAAAGGTAAAGAGGTTTATAGTGCTTACAGTGTGGGTTCATGTATAAGGTTAAAACGGAGTGTTTAGATAATCTAGAATATGTTGATGTGTCAACAATATAGAATCTGTCTCTCAGCAGAACGTGTGTACTTTGAACCACAGCTCATGTGATGAGGCTTCACCTGCTGCTGCCGGTGGTTTACCAGCGCCCCCTGCTGCCGGCTCCGAGGAGCATCACGAGCACGTGAGGAATCAGTCATGTTGGCACCTCAACGCTGTCGTCGGCCTTGTTCACGACTGACCCAGAGCCCACACTGGTCACGCCACGCTCAGCCCACAGTCTGATGTTTTGTAACACTTTATATTCCAACCATGGCCTGGTTTTCATATAAGGACCCTGTGATCAGAGGAATAATAAAAGAATCCCAGTAACACCACAGCTCACGGTTCAGGCTGGTTAGGTGGAGCATCAAGGTCAGACACATATGTTATAATAATAATAACTTTATTTATATAGCACCTTTTAAAAAGAGAGTTTACAAAGTGCTGTGACAGACAAAGCAGCAAAAGCAAGGCAATACTAACAACAACAACGGAAAGCTCAACAGTGAAGAAAAAACAGTACAATAGATGACACGGAAAAAACAAAACAATCAATGCAATAAAAAAATAAAAATAAAGCGACGACATCACATAAAAGCCAGTCTGTAAAAATTGATTCTGAGAGTCTTATCTTCTCAGGCAGGTCGTTCCAAAGCCGAGGGGCCCTGATGGCAAAAGCACGGTAACCTTTAGTTTTCAGCCTCGACTTTGGAACAGCCAGAAGGGCCCAACATGAGGATCCAAGGCTGCGAGCATGGGTCATAAGGGGTCAACTTTTCCTCTTATGTAAATCAATTCTAAAACAAAACAGGGAGCCAATGAGGAGAAGCCAGGACTGGGGTGATGTTGTTTGTTAAAACCAGTGAGAGGCCGAGCTGCTGTGTTCTGAACTAGTTGGAGGCGAGAGAGTGACTTCATGAGGGTCTTATGGTGTTGCAGTGTTGATGGTTAAAAGTGGCAATGATAAGTGAATTGTTCTACTTTGTAAGAAATGGTTTTGTTTGGGGTATTAGATTAGAGGTGGTCTAAAGTCTTATAGTGGGTTTGGGGCAGGTACGTTCACAGTGTGGATCTAGCCAGATGTTTAATTTAGATCGCTGGAGCTTTGAAACCTCACATTTCACTTGTTCGAGTGCTAAAATGCCCAAAGAACCAAAGTCTTGTTGGAGCTTGCAAAGCAGCCTACTTCCACCAAAGTGCCCCTGAAAGAGGCAACAAGGGGCTGGAGACCGAAGATAGTGTAATAGGACGAGGCCTCACTCAGTAAATAAATAAAGACAAAAAACATGCACTCTTCCTCGTCTGCACAAGAGGGGATCACTCTTTCCTGTTTTTCAGACAAAAGAAGCTTTCTTAGTCCTCAGACTATATCTACGTTCTGGTCCTCTCTCTCTTCATTCTTTCAGGAGCAGAAAGAGACGTTGTGGTTGCAGTTCAATCTTGAAATAACATCAGGAAAAATGGTGAAAACAATGATGCTTTAACTCACAATCACGAGTAGAACGACAAGTATAACAGTAACAAAGTGTAACCCGACTGATCGTGGATTTTTGAAGCCAACGCCAGTATTCATATTATATGATGACACTTTACAGGTGAAACATGAATTCGCCCGTGCTCTCTGAGTGACGTGCTTTTCTTATTACTTATACATCAACCAACTTATGCCGAATGTTGTTCATATCATGCCATTGCCAAGCTATATTTTTAAGACAACAGCTAATGTACACTTCAAAGATTATTTTCTCACATTTCAAGCAAACGTCAAACATTTATGTGATCATTCGTACAGCTGGATGTCATTTTTATGGTTCTAAACGTTCTGTGTTTTACTGATATTATATTTTTTATCCTTCATATAATAAAAAACATTATTTCCTCTCTAAAGGCAGAAGTTCTATACACTTCTAGCAGCTCGGATGACATCTTCAGTATTGACTTTATCTCCAAATTCAATCTCCCTGTACAGAGTTAAAGTGTGGTTGGTATTTTTGCTAGCCAGGTGCATGACAGTGCAAAGAACCAGTGGTGACATACATGCGTAAAGTAACCTTCATTTTAAAGCCATTACAGTTGCAAAGTACAAGTATATATACATTTTAAAATATGTTAGCCCCTTTATGCTGCTCTCAGTTTAACAATATTTAGCCAGATTTGTGTAGGACCTCTTATCCCTGTTTAGTTTCATGACGGAGAGATATAGTGGGGACATTTGTGATTCAGGTCAGATACCCGAAAAACCAGACCGAGTGAGATCTCACTCTTTTCTTTTCTCCTGCTCTCTGGGTTGGACCAACTGCGACGTTTCTGCCCAGTGACGCAGAGACGTCACCAGTCGGTAGGCGGAAAAGCGGCAGTTTATGTGTGTCTCGGTATTTGGAGGGGGAAAAAAACAGCCAGACCGGGTGCCTTTATTTTTTTTATTTAGTAGATTCATACAGCAGGTTAGCTTTCTGTCTGCCTGTAATGGCGGTTCCCGCGGGTCACACGGATCTCCTGAGCGGACAGACGGTTGCTGACGACATTGACATCGACGAAAAAGAGTTGGAAAACATCACAAAGAAGGACCGAGAAGACGAGGCGACGACGCTGCCTCTGCATTCACCTTGGACATTTTGGCTGGACAGGTATTAATACTATCTTTTTTCTGGTCTCGCGCGTTGTCCGTTAGTTTGTAGCCCCGCCCCCACCTTGGGACGAGCAGGAATGATGGAGGAAAAGAAAATAGAAGTCGAGGCCACACAGCTTTCCTTAGGCCTCCAGGAGCAAATGTAGCACGGTGGACACGTTCACCGTGTTATTTATTTGGTATTCAAGTTACTTTAGCTTTGTTTCCCATTAGGGAAAAGAATACAGGCTTCATCTTTTTTAATAAGCCAAATAAATTAGGCCAGTTTGGACCAACTGTTGTATCCTTGCTACGGACGTGTCCTACCAAAATAAGAGTCCTTGGTGCAGAGTGTCTCTATAACTCACTTGTCTCCTGTTACCTTCTGTTTTATGAGGTCACAAGGTCTCGTTTTCTCCTCTTTTGTTGACTCAGCGTATTGACGTGAAAGGAGGAAATATTAATGAATAAACTCCTTTCAAAGGTTCCAGACCTCATTGAGACTGGAAACCATTCCAGTCAAAGCACTTTTAGCAGTTAATCCTCAACAATTTTGACATTATTGAAAACTATTAGTTGTTTTATAAAGTATATGAAGTATTGTCTGTTCCCAGCTTCTCAAGTGAGACAACTTGTTGCTATTCTGTGTTTTTTTAATATGATTTTTGGGATGTCGGTCTGACAAAAAGATGTCATTTGAACATGTCACAATGGGCTCTTCCCCATTTTAGCAATTAAACCGTAAAAAGGGACCAAAATGTCGACACATTATAATCAATAAAGTAACTGATATGTCAGTTGCAGCCCTTATTAAGACAGCCTGGTGTCTGTAGAGTTTAGGTGCATTTGGCGCTGCTGTTGTGGCTATTAAACCCAAAACTATATTGGAATAGGAGTTAAGACTCTGTAAATGTTGTCGCTGGTTTAATAACCGCTGAGAGCAGCCCTGTCGGCTTGTTTCTTTCCCTTTATTCCATCGCTGCCTCGTTACTGTGGGCTGAAACGGTCCCCTCTTGTTCTTCCAGGTCGTTACCAGGCACGACCGCTGCAGAATGTGAATCCAGTCTGAAGAAGATCTACACCGTGCAAAGTGTTCAGGTGAGACTCGAAGAAGAGCTTCGTCATCTTGAGAGGAAAAGAGATCAAGTGCACGACTTGGCTAGGAGTCAAGTGGGCTTCCTTGATTCAAAAGGAATGAGCTGTTGACGTGCACTTAAAGCTCCAGTAGGCACAAGTGGTGGTGGTGTTATGAAACCATAATATCCTGAAACATGAACAGGTAGTGCAGGGTTTATTGACACCATGTTACATCAGCTTCACTCATCGAGGTGGCTCTTTTTGGACTTCATTCGTTTTTTCAGTCTTATAGTATTCATCTGTTATCGGGGTGTCAAACTCATTTAGCTGGACAACAATAATCAATGCATAATAACCTGTAAATAACAGCAACTCCAAATGGGTGGAAAAGCATCTGAAGCAGCGTTTTATATGAAGTATATAATAATAATTTAACTTGCTCCTGAGGTGCTTCAATGTCTGGCTTATAGGAGGTAAAGCGCTGCATTTTATTCAACAACTGGAATCGATTTCTTCTCTGCAATCTGATCCGTCGTGTCACAGAACAGCAACTTTTGACTCGGGAGCGTTACGAAAGGAAAGAAACTCTCGTCAACATGTTTTTGTTTTTCTGTTTCCAGATGTTCTGGAGTGTTTACAACAACATCCCTCCAGCCACAGCCCTGCCTCTGAGATGTAGCTATCACTTAATGCGTGGAGAACGGAGGCCACTGTGGTGAGTCTACCATTATTATTATTATTATTATTATTATTATTATTATTATTATTATTATTATTATTATTATTGTTATTATTATAGTTCATATCATGATTATGTTCCTTTACACCAGCATGAACACAGGGCATAATGTAATGATTATAACAGAACAAGCATTACACTTTAATGTAAAATATATTTAAGTGTGCCATAAAAGCTTGAATTATTACACTGTTCTATTTTGGAATCGTTATGTCATTATTATTATTATTATTATGAGGCCATCAGTTGGACAGGTTACATGATAATTGGTAGGATATATTATGTTAAAATGTTCCCTTTTTGTCACATTAACAGGTTCTGATTTGACAATTTTGCATTCTGATAACTTTTTACATTATCCAACATTTATCTCTACATCTCTCCAACTAATTTAAAGTCACATATGTATTTAATGGAAAACTTGTGACTTGCTTGTAACAGAATAGTAGATATCAATTAAAAAGACATGTATTTTCTGCCAACAGGGAAGAAGAAAGCAACGCAAAAGGAGGAGTATGGAAGATGAAAATACCAAAAGAAAGCACTGTAGGTGTTGTGCGCCGTTTAGCTGCTTTTCACATAATAATAGATGAATTGTGTAAATTATTAATTAGCTCCTCTGTCTTCTTCTTGCTTCAGTCTGCAGTTTGGAAAGAGTTGTTACTTGCTACTATTGGGGAGCAGTTTGCAGATTACTGTGCCTCAGGTGAGCGACTATAAGTCCATTCTTGATACTTTATGGCTTTGTTTTCAGAATGAGAAGAAATATGCTTTTGCATTTGAGTATTTATTCGCTGTTTATTCTTTTTATTTCCCAGACGACGAGGTCGTTGGTGTCAGTGTTAGCGTTCGGGATCGAGAAGATGTCATACAAGTCTGGAACAACAACGCATCGCTTGCCGGCGAAGCAAGTATCTTGGGCAAAGTCTACGAGCTCCTCCCGCACATAACTTTTAAAGCTGTTTTTTATAAGTGTAAGTATTCCCTTTCTATCCACTTACATTGTGTTGTACGTTTTGGGTTTATAAATGGAAATCAGTGATGTTGGTAGGTAGGCGTCCGGCATTAAAATCTAAACAGGATGCTGTAAACTCACTATCTGCTCCATGTTAGATAACGCTACATTACAAACAACACATTGTAACAAACAAAGAAACCTCGCGGTCAAAACAATACACAGACCAGTCACCATTATCTTACCGTCCGAGCATCTGTAATGTGCAGACACGATCCTGGTTCTTTGTCTAAATCCTGACTGGAGAGACTCTGTGCTCTTGCTGCAACAAAACGTCTCCCCAAATGCACAGATTTAATTTCAACAGTCAAAGCTACAATCTTGGTATTCGGTATAAAATATTTTTACCCGCAGTCGCTTTTTTCATACCGTCTGCGCCTAGATCTCTCACATGACTGAAAGAATAACGTAATAAGCATAAGTATATTTCTCAAAATCTTTAACTATCATATTAATACACTTTTGATACACTATATCGTATATTTTATACCATAATAATTATGACCATATAACATTGAACACGAGTTTAACTTTACAAATTGTCAATAGACACATTTAATCCAACTCAAATGGTCACATTTAATTCAACTCAAATGATTACATTTAATGATTACATTTAATTCAACTCAAATAATTATATTTAATGATTACATTTAATTCAACTCAAATAATTATATTTAATGATTACATTTAATTCAACTCAAATAATTATATTTAATTCAACTCAAATTATGACATTTAATTCAACTCAAATTATCACATTTATTTCAACTCAAATGTTTACATTTAATTCAACTCAAATTATTACATTTAATTCAACTCAAACGATCACCTGTGGGTCCGGGGGACTCGCTACATGTCAACATCACTGTGAAGCTTAATCTTTACAGATACCATGTGTCAGAAACTATCACAAGTCAAGTCAGCCTGTGGAACAAGAAAGTATACATTTCTTCTGCCGATTGAACTGTACACATTTCAACGACGTAGTTCCAACCAGAGAGTTTTTAAACTATCTCGGGAATGGGTTTATACGCTTTTTAAATTTATATAAAATAACCATTTGTTTGCCTAACATAAGGGTTTGTACTCACCATGAATCACTTTGCTGTTTTCAGCTCACATGGACCATCATGCCTTTGAAGGAGGACGCTCAAGACATTAAATCACCGTAAAGCACTTTTAATTTCTTTTATTATTTTAACCTGAACTCTGTACCCGCCTTGACGTGAAGGCGCTGTCCACAACCTAATCATGGATATGGTTTTTGCATTTATAACTTTTAATGACCGATGCCTTGTTTCATTTTGACGCGGCTCCTTAAGCTCCGAACTACAGAGAGCGTATATGTATCCAGCAAAAACAAATCCCATCCGAACTGCACCGTCCACACTTTATTGCTGGTATGGAGGTAAATTAGTGTGTTTTAACTGTTTGTAAGATATCTCGACTCATATCGGGTTTTAATTTTCTGCCGTTTAAGGAAGTTTGTATCCTGACGGGGTTTTTAACTCAGCTGGAGTTTGTCCTCTTCTGAGGACGGCGCGAATGTCCCGTTTCTTGAGACTTACATCAGCCGTACCATCAAATTGGTATCAGGGGTAACACTTGGAACTATTGCACACGACTACCGATTCCAATCACAGTGTCCCTGCGTTGTAAAGCCGTCGTAGGGCATCAGGACATACGCCAGCGCAGACGTGGCCCTCAGCTGCAGTAAGAGAGGAAGAGCCGTCCTGAAAGGTGCCTCTTTGAATGTTCTCTGCCGCGCCGCATTTGACGTTTCCTTTCGTGTTGAAAAGTAGACCCTCTGCTCCCCTGAGCGGGGGTCACGGATTGTTTAGTGTATTACTCTGAAGAGATACTGCACATTTTTTGAGCTCTGCAGTACTTGTCCGTACATGTTTCACCCTACCGATATATAACTGGACTGTTTCTTTCTTATAACACACAGAGAAAAAGAAGGCAGCGTTGTTTCCTTTAAAGGAAGCTGCGTGAGGCCTCATCACCAGCATGATGTGTGGATAGAATATGTTGAATTTTATTGTTAAGAAAAAGTTCTAGTAGTCATTGAGTCGATTTCATCTGCTGCTTCAAGGACAACAAGACACTTTAAACCAGAAGTTACACTGACTTCACCTATTTGAGAATGTCCATAATGATAAATAGCATCATTATTAATAGAGAATATTTTTCTATCAGCTCGCTTTATGACAGCAAATCACCCCGACCAGGTTTCCTTCACTAACAGTCATACTATTGTAGTGTAGGCTCCAGGTATTATCATGTCACACCACTTTAATTGTTCAACTTTGAACTGGTTGATTCGTGATAAGAGACGATATTTCCATTGTAAACATGATTTTTGCAGTGACACAGACAAAGTGAATAAAATGGAAATTAAAATAAAATTATTGTCATGCGTGTTTGTTTGTTTTTCACAGTACAATACCCACTACTGGTATGTCTCTGGTAAATATTTTTTTAAAGTAATGTAAAGGTCAGGAGAAGCAGTGAGTGAGCATTTTTTGGGCGTGTTTTAGAATTTTACCGTTAAAGGAACAGTGTGTTGTCTTTAGTTTATAATCACCTGAGAATATGAGTGGTTGTGTTTTTGTTACCTTTTAGAATGAGTCATTTATACCTCCATACAGAGCAGGACATCTTCACGGAGCTTCTGTTTCTACAGTAGCCCAGAAGGGACAAACCAAACACCGGCTTTACGTCGGGCCGGTCGTGTTTTGGCACTCGGGAGAAGTTTCTGTCAGTTGTAATTTGCAAATTCACCACTAGACGCCACCAGATCTTACACATCTATTGGACCTTTTTACACTAGATTATTAATTTGCCCCACTTTGTCAATAAGCCTCTTTTGCTGCCGCAGATGTTTTGACTCTTCATAGTAGGAAAAGTACTAATAGCATCAACAACAAACCAGTGAATAGTTGTAAGTGATCACAATCAACTACAGAATATTTAATAATATCCCATGTATGTAATAATAGAATATATAATCATGATTAATTAATGATGAACTTTCCTTCTTCTGTGGATAGGATACATTTTCTTTGTGGAGCTCTTAGAAAGGATTCAATTTGATTTCAAAAAGTGTGCAGCTTTCTTAAATTTAAACCGTTCTGTTATTGTGCACCGTGAACTCTGTAAGCCGGAGCCAAAGCACAGAGAATTAGTTCTTTTGATCTCTCAACATGTCAGAAATACACAAGATTTGATGTGAACGTCTCCTCTTCATGGAGTCCATTACACGGACAGCCTGCTCAAGCTTTAGAGTGCGTGTGTGTCCCCTGTGGTTATGAAATGCATTCAGGAGGCTGGTCAGTAATTTAGAAAAAGCAGCGCAGAGTGCATCTACCTCCACTCTGTGCTGACCATGCCCACGCTGAGCTGCACTTTCACAGCCAATTGAAACGGGACCAGCACACTTACCGCCCCACAAACGGGACTGTGTCCACACTCCAAACATGGCGAGGCTTCACAGGCCGGTGGTTTGTGTGGTTCACAAACGAGCACAGCTGACCCGGCCAGCATGCAGCTGCAAAGAAAAGCCTCTTTGGTCTTTGGGGCAAACCGCTCCTGTTCTTCTGTAATTCACACACATTGTTGCATTTCAAAAAGCAGCTCCTCGGTTTGATTTATGCTCGCGTGAAAACTTGAAGAATGTTCTAAAAACGCCCAAAGAGAGGTTTGTTACCTACATTGTTATAAAATCAGGTATGTGTTGTGGTTTTAAACTACACACCTCAGATACTTAAAACGAGCGAGCTGAAGCTTGATGTTCAGCTCTTATTGTGGTAACTGTGACACATCACATCACTGCGTAAAATGATATACTTCAAGTTACTATAAACATACTTCAGCACTTCATTTCAGTGACACTTACCTCCTTTCTTCTTCTTAATCTACTTTCTCGCCCTTTAAACTGCAGTAAAATGAACCTCATGTATAATAATGATAAAGCACGTAGTTGTGCAAATTAAAAACACATTATTATGCACAATATCAATGTATTAATACCATGAACTATGACTATGTAAGACTGCTCATATACTATGATGTATTTACATGCAGTCGCACTGCGATGTGTAGTTGTGTCACACAAGGCAGGAGCCATGGAGTGAACACTAACACGGGATGAACTTTCATTTATTTTGTCTTCTAGTCTATTCTATTACATTGCTCTTTTTTTGTTTATTGTCTCATTGTGTGCTGAGATAATGGATTAATAAAGTACAACCTGAATGTATAGAAACAGAAATCTATGCATTATTTGATATTTTGATATTTGTTCCCATGAGACAAACCCAATGCATCAGGAAAAGCAAATTGATTGAATGTATTTTTAAATGAAATAAGAATAAATCATGATTTTTATTTCTAATGGCTGCATTAAAGCAACTGAGCCTGTTTTGTAACTCACCCCTACGTACTGATGAACATTTGCATTTTGCGTTATTACCAGAATATATTAATGGCTTTACACTTACTGAGCTATTTTTAAAAATGTCCACGTTGTCCACCTCTACGGACAGATGTGTAAGTCTGTGAAAAAAAACATTTAGGGATGATCTGTTGTGAAGTAATACACTTACATATACAATACAATGTATTTGTGATTTAATGATATGTGCCTTAAAAGGGTTCAAGTGAAGAAAGAAAAAATGTGTTTACAGTACCACAAATTAAATACATTATTATCATAAATAAAAACTATTTTTTTTGTTATCTATTCTTGTTTGATGACTGTAAATTTTAAAAAATGCCACATCAACCCCACAATTGCAGAATGGAGCACAACAAGGTATCATCTCCTTCCTTCAGTCACTTGCTAGTCATTTACTGATCATTATCTGTACAGCCCCCCCCCCCCCCCCCCCCCCCCCCCTTTCATTACATGCTGAATGCTGCTGCCCCCCAGCAACAAGGGTGAGAAACACCGTATGAAAGCCATCCTTCCCCCTCCTTGGAAATCAAGAGGAGCTCCTATTCATTTGCTTAATTACCTAATTAACAGAAAGCTAATTACTTTGTTGTGTGTGTGTGTGTGTGTGTGTGTGTGTGTGTGTGTGTGTGTGGAGAGGCTGTTACGTAACTGATAGTGATCCTCAATTAATTTGTAACTACACTCCATCCAGTCGGGGCCCTTTAATCCACACGACGCATCACCGGCGCGACTCCAAACAAAAACGCTCTAATACATTCAGAACCCAGACACGAGGCTGCTGGGCTCCACTGAGCTCATAGATCCGGTATTGACATGCAGATCAAGCCACAGAAGAATTAGGAAGATTGCTTGTTAGATTGTCTTCACAAAAACTGCACACACACACACACACACACACACACACACACACACACACACATTAGAATGTTTCCTCATTAATTACACCAGACAATTGTGTTTACAACCTTTTGAAGAAACAAAACAAAAACCCTGCAGTAATCCCATGAAAGCTTGGCTCAGTACACAAATCGTAGCAAAACTGCAAATCCTGTTAGGGATACAATGGGAGTCGTGTTGTATTATGAGAGATAAAGTGGTAACAAGTGGGAGGACGTAACAAACACATTCAATTTGAGTAGTTCTCTCTCAGAGGTGGAGTCAAAAGGTCAACTCTTTCCTTTGAAGATTTTAGCTTCATGTGATGTATTCTGCCTGTATGTGAATGTGCTTAATATCTGCCTTGATTCAGATGTTTGAGTTGAACTCTTTGTGTTGTCAGTTGAACGTCTCAGAGGACATCTGTGCGTTGCTGTGGCTCCGCGGGCCCTGAGGTCATTGAACACAACACTGGTTTGTAGGCCGTGCAGTGATTGATGTGCGTGTGACTGCTACAACATGTACGCATATAAATCTTTACAGTTGGAATGTTTTCCAGCTGCGGGTTTGAGCACTTGCTTTTGTAAAAAGAATATATTTAAAAAACGTTTTAAATAGACAAATGATATGACTGTTTTATGCACATAATGTAACTAATGTGACACACCCTGTCTTATTCATTCATTTTTATTTAGTGACGCCCTCTTTGTTTTTCATCAATTCTCTTGTGTTAAAATTGTTGTCAAATTCTTTTACCTCTAAAATGTTCATGGGGCCGTTAAAGACCGAAGGAATGTGAAAGTGTGAAGGTAACAGGAAATTAGATTGCCGTGTTTTCCTGTTTGGCCTCATTTGTCACTGATGTGTCACTGTTACTATGAATTAAGGTTTGTTTGTTTCGTGTTTGCCTGTAACCCAGCAGCTACAATCACTCATGTGTAACACACTAAAATGCATAAAATACAACAAACAATACATAAAACATAAAATATAATTTGGCTGCGTCGAAAGAGGCAACAAGATATATTTAAAAAGTGGAGAAAGAAAATGCTAAATTGTTTTTAATTATTTATAATTGTTAATCTGCTATGAAAGGTTTTAAGATTATTTGAAGCTCAATCCATAATATTTAAGGAACAGGTCTGACCCGAGGAATGTAAACACCCAATGCATTGAAGGTTTAAGGATATTACAGATAAAAAAACATCTGTAAAAAATAGTATAATGACCCAACAGAGGATTGAGAATATGAAGTAAAGTCCTCATAAACTCTCTCACACACAGATGTAGTAGAAATATGACAGTACCCGGTCAGAGGGTGGCGCTCTCTACTAACAAACAGAGTTGAGCAGCAGCATTGCTCCCTGATGATAAAAGTAACGTTCAGAGAGGAAAGCTGAGCCTCTCAGACCTTGATCAAGGACAAAAAAACGACTTCAAATATGTTCTCTTGGGGTTAAATTAATGTGGCTTTACAATGAGTGTTAACTGGACCGTTGGACCGGCCCGTGGTGATTCTCCTCTTCAGGGGCATAAGTGACAGAGATTTTAATTACTGTCATAATGTTTTCTTTTGCACTTCTTGTGACTGTCATATTGAGGTGAAACTGTTCAGGAGTGCACAGAACTATTTGACCAAAATGCCAAGCAGAGATTCTTAATAACTCTTGTTTCAAATTTAGACGTCTCCTTCAAAATATTATGAAGAATTGTCCCACATGCTAGAAAATATAACCAGACAACCTGTCCTCTTTAAAAAAAAACAAAAAACATACCACCACCCCCTTTAAATAGTTTAAACTCCTCACAGTTCAGATTAAAACATCTTTGATGATTATGTCAAAGCATTTCATTTCTCTTTTTTTTTTTCTGCAGTGAGGCTTTTGGAACAGTTATGATGAACCTCAGATCAAAAAAAAAGACAGGAGAATTTTCTGAAATAATAAGAAGTTCATTCTGCCTCGGTTGTAATTAGTCAGCTTAGACATTTTAGCTTTTCTGACAGCCCCCCCCCCCCCCCCCTCTCTCTCCTGTCACACTTTCAGCTAAAAAAACTAATGCATATCATTACAT